ACAAGTGGCCTTAGAAGATAGCAGCAAAAGATGCTGATGAGTCATTTAGAATCGGTAAGTGTAACTCCTGCTGGCTGATCAAAGGCCATTTCTAGGAAACTGGAACCTGGGCTTCTTATATAACATCAATCACCCCAGATAATGGTGACAATATAGATATTTATATGCTTTTGAGTTTTCACTTCCATGCCTTGTGTTTATACTTCACATCAGGCACTTTTAAATGACTCAATTAATCCATCTGTAAGCTTTTAAATGGAAAAAAAAAAACCAAAGTAGAGAGCAGCACATTGTCTTAGATCATTTTCTGAGTCAAAATATACTTTTTAAATTCAAATAGTCATTGCTGTGTTAAGAACAAACCCCAAGTGCCTGATCAACCACTTTATTTTCATGAGGCAAAAATACTGCTAAGCAGCTGTTAAGAGGGAAGGCAGAGAATTTCCTCCGCCACTCATGAAGAAAGATAAAGAGGCTTTATCCATTGGCCCTCTAATTTTAAAAAGATCATGGAAATTTGGTGGACACAGAGCACAATTCTCTATCCTTGAAGATCATTTTCCAAAGCACAGATGTTTTTCTCTTACTCGTGCATGCTGGCTGGCTGGTCCTATCCTTTTTCAGTGCTCAGCAGACAGTGTTTTTGGAGTGGCTTGTCCCCTATAACTTGGGCTGATGTTCATTGCTAGGTGGAAAACATGTCTTGGGCTAGACAGAAATGAATCAATATTACACAAAAATGTTTCCATTTCTGGAATTTCCCTGAGATAAAAATGTCTTCCTGGCTCTGAGCATATGTAAGTGACTGCGGGGAAACTTAGTAAAAGAGAAAACGAATTTTCAATACTTTGTGATGATGGTCACATGGGACTACAAGCACCAAAGGATTTTCCTGTTGTATCATTTTGGATACAGAGTTGACTCATTTTTCTGGTTAGTGCCTCAATGTTTTCATTAGCGAGTTTCTGTAAAGTCTTTATCTGAATCACAGAAAATAAAAATTATTTCCAAGCTAGGATAAAACTTCATCTGTCATAAATAGCACTGAGTCCTTAAAGCTTGCCATGAGCCTAACAAATTGCATAGAAGCTTTATGCCCAGGAATGCAATATATCAAGTCAAATACTGCAGAGTTCCGCTAATTTAGGTAATACCTGTGTAAAAATACAAGATTGGCTAAAAATTTTAAATAATTCCTGTGAACATGCAAATTAAGTTCATTTACTGAACTATTTTAATTTCTAACAACTGAATAGCACATTTTAGTACAAATATTTCATCACATGGATAATAAACACACTCATCTTTACTTATTGTCTGTTTGTCAAGGTTGGTATGCGAAATTATAACTTAGCTCATATATTTTCATCAAGTATCTCAAGGATAAATTAAAATTCCCAGTAAAAATCCAACTGACTTGATATGTACAGACCACAAAAAGTGCTATTTTAAGCTTTTCAGAGGGGAGGACAGGAATTCATCAGAAAGTTTAAGCTTTGTGGGTTTTTTTTCTTAAGTGTATTTACATGGTGGGAGAAAAAGAACGTTCCAGATAATTATGAATGAGACACTGTTATTAATACATAAGACAAAAAAGCATTATTTCTGTATGACTGAAGCTCCTAACACATGCTTTGCTTTTAAACTAATTTTAAGTTGCATATGAAAAGTCTAATAATCAGAAAAACACAAGGCTATTTTTTAACTTACTTGCTCAAATATTTTGAGCCTCAAATATTTTGAGCCTTCAAAATAATGTTGAAGTTTCCAGCTGATGCCATGCCTACCCTGGGGAACCCAATGGTGAACTGTTGCTCCTGTCTGGGTGAGTGCACACGGGGAGTCTCGTGCTACCCCCAAACTGCTGTGGGGGGGGGCACACTGCCCCTCAGGAGTCAGTGTTCAAAGTCATTGTTAATTGTTAACACCCTGAATTGAAGTTCCACAAGAGACAGAAATTTGAGCACAAGATATCCCAAATTCGGAGCCATATTGAAAACTTTGGAAAATATCTTTGTGTGAGATCATATCCAGATCTTTAGAGAACAGGTCAGACCTATAGCGGTTTAAATACCGTCTAAAATGTCACTACGTGAAAAACCATCTCAGAAGCATACTGCCCACTCTTTCCCCATTGATGTTTCCAGAATTGCCTTTAGCCATATCATCTTTAAATTAAAATAAGGTTTTATGGATATTCTGGCTGTGACACTTAATAGCTATGGGACCTCAAGAAAATCTCTTAATTTCTCTTGCCTTACTTTCCTCATCTATAAAATGGTGAAAGGGTGGAGGTTGTGGCAGGGATTAAATAAGTGAATGTGCCTGGCACATAATGACTACAGTACGAGTCGTCCACATTAGTATTGTCATTGACTCATGATATCCACTCATAATTTTTGCAGAGAAGCCATCAGCACAAAATCAATAAAATCAATTATAACACCATTCTTTTTTTCCCCAAAATGTAAAAAGACACCCATTTTATAAAAAGGTTCATAAGACTCCCAAATTACTATTAATATTAACTTGGCTCAGAATTATCTACTCTAATAAGCACATCCAAATTCTTCCTAGCTCCCCACACTCCCCACCACACTAAATTCACGCACAAGGGGAGTCCTGTTGCATTAGAAATGAACTTGCTAATAATTAGAATTTTCTAACCGATCCTTCTAAGGCATGCTTTTCAGCCACAAGACTCTGGAAGGAGATGGGTCTCCTCGGGAAGATGCTGGGAAATGGTAGTCAACAGGATTTCCTCCTTCTGTATCCTCCTCACTACCTTCCCTCTGTGAGAGATTAAGGGCCGTGTACCACCACACACCCCCTACCCTGCACCCCACCTCCTGCTCCCCACGCGTTTGATTGCCAGCCTGCAGGCACAACTCTACGATCCAAAACGTGCCCAGACGGATCAAAATCTCTCCCTCCCCAGGTCGACCCTCTGGCTGGTCCTTTCTATGGCTAGAGAGGAGTAAGGAACGCCCACCAATTGCCAAGGCCCTCCATTTTCCACACCTCTGCTGAGTGAGCTCTGGTACAGAACAGAATGAATGCATCAAGTCAGTAACTCACGCCTGATCACATGCCCAGCTTTCCCAAGGGAGGAAAACACACCTGGTGTAGGAAGACCACTGAAGGCCATTTATAAGCCACTTAGAAAGTTATGAAGCTAGAGGGGTCATTTCTGCAGTCACTGTGTTATTATTATAACATTTTAGAGTGATCACCTATTGGCTCTAGGAAGTGAGAATGGTACTTTTATTTCAAAATCTTAGCATCAGATTTAACATCAAACAGGAAGATACCCTTTGCCTTTGCTGCATGTCTTAGCCAAGCAAATGAGAGTCCCAGAGAAACTGATCACCTCCTCTAGGCTGCAATGGGTTAGAGTAGATCTCAATTTCCCGAATTTTTAGTTGTGGGACCCTTCTTGGTGCACTATTATTTTAATGTCAGTATTCTGGGAGGCAGGCAAATGTAAGGCAAGAGTGTACGATAAATCATAGATACAGAGACAATTTAAGTATTTAGTGTTGGTGGTTGGGTCTGTTATTAGGTTATTAAGTAAATAATGTCCGATTTCCTTAAGTACTAAGTTTGACCGTTGCCATCTCTGACATTTCATTTTGACACTTCTTTTTTATTATTTTATTGTGAAGGTACACATCCTCATTCTTTCAAGGGCAGTTTGGCTTGTGATTATCTTTCAATTTTTTTTAGAGCAATTTTTGTGAAACCATGCACCAGTCAAAAATTCGTGTTACTTTTGAATGTGAGTTAAATCATGGAACCAATGAAGCACAGACAGCTAGAGTATCAATGAAGTGTTTGGGAAGGATGTGGCTAATGAACACACAGTATGTCGATGGTTTGAGAAGTTCCGTTCTGGTTACCTTAATCTTGAAAACGAGCCACGTGGGTGACCTGAGACCAAGGTGGATAATGACGAGCTTGAAAGCTGTGGTGGAAGCGAATCTATTTCAATCTACCCGTGAATTAGCAGCAAGGTTGACATTACTCTTCCAACAATATTGGACCATTTGAAACAAATGGGCAAGGTAAAGAAACTGGGTAGATGGGTACCGCATGAATTAAACGAGCATCAGGAGAGAAGCCATCTTGAAGCTTGCCTTTCTTTGCTGTCACGCCATAAAGGTGAACCCTTTCTACACCACATTGTTACGTGTGATGAAAATTGGATTCTTTTTGACAGTTGCAAGTGTTCAGCGCAATGGTTGGATAAAGAAGCGCCAAAACACAGTCCAAAATCCAATATGCATCAAAAATAGCTGTGTCTGTTTGGTGGTCCAGTGCTGGTATTATCCACTATAGCTTTATGAAACCTGGTCAACCAATTACAGCAGATGTCTACTGCAACCAACTGAAATGATGAGTGAGGATGCTTGTGATTAAGGAGCCGAGAATGGTCAATAGAGACAGGCCAATCCTCCTTCAAGACCACATGTTGCAAAAAACAACACTGCTTAAACCACAGAAGCTGGATTTGGAAACTCTCTGGCATCCCCCATATTCACCAGATCTTGCACCAACTGACTGCCACTTCTTCCAGGCTTTGGAGCACTTCTTGCAAGGAAAAATATTCAATTCTCAACAGGCAATGGAAAAAGCCTTTTGAGATTCCACTGCCACTCACTCTCCAGGCTTCTTCACTGCTGGCATAAACAAGCTACAGTTAAGATGGCAAAACTGCGTCAACAGTTCAGGCACATACTTTGATCAATTGTACTGCTTCTTGTTTGAGATAATAATAAACTAAATTTTTGATTCGAAAATGGACATTTCATATTTAATGACCTAATATTTCCTAGATGGTTTAGTTGGCTAGCGTGTTCATTTCTTTTTTACAAAATAGGCAAATGCCTTCTTGAACATTCACACATAGAAAGGTATATAGAAATAACACACAAACTGTTTGGAATGCAAATATTCTTTGGTTTACTTATCAAACTAACAAATAACAAAAACCTTACCAGTTAAATAAAAAAGTGACATTCTTTATTTATCAAACTTTCTTAAACATTGAAATGCACATGTTCTTTCACAATATCCTATCTTCCCTTTTGTCTGTCCCCCCAAATTATTTTGATGGGTTCATCTCTAAAATGAAGACTGTTCTATCTTTCTTATTGCTACTTACTTCTTACCATCCCAATATCAAGACCAATCTAGATGTTCTCTTTGTCTCTTACATGTGAAATGGATGTTAAAAAAAAAAAAAAACACATGATTTCATCAGAACATTTTCAAGATAACATGAAAATTAAACCCTAAGCAAGCATTTCAAAGCCATTACATTTTTGGGAATTTAAGTATCACCATTGGTTCTTAAAAGCAGGATTTGATTCCAGAAGCATATTTTTATAATTGACATTATTCATAATATCTAATACAGTTCATTTCCACAGTATTGATTTCAGATAAGTAGTTTTCTGTTTTTCTGAGGGTTAAAGTGTACTGCCTCAGACTAAATTCTTGAATGTCAATGACACAATCTTTAACAGAACAATCAAGCAAGGGTAAACTTGAAAATGGAATTGTTTCAAAAAGGAGTAATAACAGCAAGAAAAAGCTCTTGGCTTTTCAAAAGAGGTAACATATACATAGGAAGGAATACAAGTGAATCAAAATACATAACTTTGTACATGTTAGAAATATCCAATGTGCTACCAACTGCCTAAAAAATGTCTTGAGGTCTGGAGCTATCCATGTTTTCCTTTGTATAACTATACATTTGCATTACCCAACCATACATCTTTCCCATGATCTGTTACCCATCAGGAAGCTTTTAGCCAGAACTTTTGGCAATATGCTTTTCTTCAAATAAAACAAGCTTCATAAAAGCACTATCAATAATGTCTGACAACTGAATTGGGCAATGTCTTCCTGTAATCTTTAGAAAATTCTTCTTGTTTTCCTTCATAAATCAGCAGTGCTCCGTCTTCAAATGAATTGTGATCAGTCACAACCTCAATTCCCACACTCATATGTTCTCTTCATCCAACATTTTGTTGATACCATCACAAAGTTTTTGTAAATGAGGTTTAAAATTTCCAAAGGGATTATACAAGGCAGCCAAAAATTCGCAATTTGAAAAATGATCAAAGACATTATTAATCCGTCCATGTGACTTGGCGGTGAGGTGACGCTGAATGATTTGGTGGAGCATCTCTCTGCATTCGTTCAGCAGCCTGGATAACACATTCCGGTCAAAGGTGTAATCCACCTGGTGGAAACTGACCACGGTCATAGCAAGCTGGTGAACTTTCTTCTTAAATTTCTCCATCAGTGCTAGCTCGTCTTGATTGAACTGGTTATTCCTGTAAAGAATGGCCAGCTTGATGACCGTCTTGATGAGGTTCTTGATGATCTTCTCGGCCTCCTTCTTGTTCTGGGTGTACTCCCTGGTCACCCTGTAGAGCTCGTCCAGCACCTCACTGCTCGTGTCGTCTATTAAGGTGGTGGCGATGGATTTGGACACCATCTTACCCAAGATCTTCTTTTGTGCCTGAACAGCCAGGTTTTTGGAATTAAAGACATCTGTGGCCACTAAAAAAAGAACAAAAAAAACGAGGGGGAAAAAGAAAAAAAGAATCAGTAAATATCCGCAAGAGAAGCAAGTTAAAAAACAGGTATGAGAAATTTTCTTTTTTCCATTTTCCCACTAATTGTGGCTTGCCTCCCATCTACTAACATTAGTCTCTGTTCCGAAGAGAATTAAAAAACTTTTTCTGCATTTCTGAACATTGGGTTCTCATCTGTGGAATCAGCAGGTTGATGTGAATAATCTTTAGAGTCTCTGGCAACTCAAATATTTTGTACCTTTTGCTCTGTATACCTCTTTTAGAAGTTAAAGGTGGCAACTTTTTAAAAAGTAACTTTTATGATTATAAAAAATAGTATTATCTCATGAGGCAGTAAGTTTTTACGCAATATTTCCCTAGTTTAACTTTAAAAATATATGTTATAAAAATATAAAATCAACTCTACACCTCTCCTCTGGGCAATAGCAACCAAAAGCCATTTAAAGAAACTCATTTAAATTCAAGAGAATAGCAAAGCCACAATACTGAATAAAATGGCAAATTCATGAAAGCAAATCAAAAGGAGAGCCCTGTTTTGTAATCCAGTTGCAAGAAGTCAAATTTCCCACGACAGTGGCCTGCACTCACCAGTTTGGCTGTCCTAACCACCTTGAATTTCAACTTCTAGAATCCAAGTGTTGGAAAGAAATACTTCTTGAAAAAACTCATTGTCACTTGCTACTTCTGATGAATGGCCAGTGTTCCCTTTAAATTTTTATACATTTTGAAGAAATAACTATACTTTATGAACTAACGAAATATGCTACATGAAAAAAGTACTTTGAGAAAGCTGATGCTTAGAGTTTACTTTTGGAATTGCAGTAACTTTTAATTGGACAGATGTTTAAGACACACATAATAGTTGTATGTATTAAATATTGACGAGCCACCACATGTCATGCTCCCAAGCTTAGAGCTGGTCAGCAAAAATGCTCCATAAACGTTTATTCTCCAAACCAAATTCAGTTTTTTTCTACCATAATTTCCTCCCCCCTATGCATGTTGTAATCTGAAAGCTACTCCTCTATAACTGTGCTTTTCCTCTTTTCTCCTTCGGGCCTCAGAACTGCACTCTCTGGGTGTCCATTCCATCTTTGGGCCAGAGGTAGCAATCTCTCTGTGGATGCCAGTGTTTCAGCCTAGGCCTGGGTGTTGGAAAGCAGCCATTTGGTAATGAAATAAAAAAAGGCTTAAAAATACAGATATATAGGAATGAGTCAGGGGATCAATGATACAAAATTATTTCTAGTTTGAATTGCTTAAAATTATTAGGAAGCAAAAAGGCAGCTGCTCCCAAATCCAGACTGGGAGGACATAGAAGACTAACTCCCTCAATGTGGAACTCCCATGTCAGATCTGAAATTGGGGCAAAGAGAAGCCAAATTAGATTCGAAATTTGGGCCAAAGTAGCTCCTGGTATATAGCGTAAGTAGCTGCAAAGTGGTCCCTAATGACCATAAACATGCAGAGCCATACACACACTGAAAGAATGGCTTGACTGAAGTAGAAATGGTGCCCTCACAAATGTTGATATTTAAACTTCTGAAACATGAACTGAAACTGCAGAAGAAGAACTGAAATATATTTTGAAAAAGAAAAGGAAAGTGAAAAAGTGTGAGAAACAGGTAACTTTATGCAGAAGGTTTCTAAGCTTCTTTTAAAAAATGTTTTTATCCCTTAAGCAGTAGTCTATTTCAATTCCTATTCTTCCATGATTTGCAAAAGAGTATAAAGATTAATTCACACTAAAGAATTTGTATTAAAATAAATGGCACATATGCAGTTAATATTGCCATATTAAGACGAGGGACCATCTTTCATCTCAGAACTCCTGATATGGACCCCAACAAATTAATAAACTTGATTTATTAATCAAGGGAAGGGATACCCAACCATTTTCAGACATAGAGCAAGTAAGTAGGATTTCAGCAACTTATTTTACATAAAACTGAAAGGTTCTTTTGTTTTTGATGTTTTAGAATGTGGCACAGTCTACAAACATCCCACCTGGGATTTATTTGCAATGTCTATCAGGTGGACATGCTTTATGTCCTGAAATACTGAACCCAGAGGGAGAGAGGTTTGTAAGATTCCTCTGTGCTTCTTTATCCAAGGCTGAACTTTTCAAATTGCACCTCCTCCCCAGCTACTTTTCTTGTTAAATCTAATGTCCCATTTAATTTCAAACATAAAGAGAAAACAAAAACTCTCTGGTTCAGCACTTTAACTTCCTGCAAATCTACTGCCAAGTAAGCAAGATCATTCCCCATTTACTGGTAACCAAGTCTGAGGCAAGACACAGTTGATCTCTGAGGCTTTCATATTTGTCCTAGAGGAACTTCAAACCCTTCTCTAGAAACACAGCAGCTGTGTCTCACTTCCATTTCATTCTTTGGGTTATTCCAGTGCAGCCATCTTTTTAAACGAGGGTGAAGCTCTTTTTCCCCCTCCACTGGGAAGACACGCATGAGCAGATTTATTTTCTAGCATTAGAGAAGGCTTTTTGGGAGCCAACCAGGGGTTGTGGCTGAGAGCTGCCGGCCAGGGATGAGTGGTCTGTGATCACGAAATATGTTTTTTTTTTTCTTTGCAAATTAGCTGCTGCTAGCCATTCCTGCTCAGGCTCATTTGTCAGTTCCGCATCTTCTACCAGAGCCTTTAGAGGTCTGGTGTATCTCACAGCTTGTCCTGGACCCAAGTTTTTCTCCTTCACTCTATCCTCACCTCTGTGTGATCTCAGCCACTCCCATGGCTTCAGACACCACCCAAGTGCCAATGACCCCCACAGTTATAACTCAGCCCTGACCTCTCTTCTGGACTCATTTTGCAAATGCATTCAAGATTTTTCTTTTCCTTGGCTATTTCACAGGCATCTCAAACACAGCAGGTCCAAAACTGAATCCTTAATTCTTGCTTGCCTCCCCCTGCAAGTATTCCCTTTCTACTATTTACTCTCTCTTTTTTTTAATTTCAAAATATTAAGGTGGTACAAATGTTTTAGGTTACATGTACTATCTCAATTAACAGCATCCCTTCCACCCTTTTGCTCAAATGACCTGGGAGTCAGGCACCATACCCTCCTCTCCCTCACCTAGTCCATTACCAAGTTTCTTTCTACTCCACCTTCCCCCCAATTCTCTAAATTCTATTTCCCTCCATCTCCATGGATACCAGCCTAGTACAAGCCCCTTTTTATCTCTTTTTACATAGCAGCCAAAGTTGTAAAAAATGTAATTAAAAACTGATGCTCCACTTAAGTTCTTTGCTAACTATCATACTTCCTTATTCCTCATTATTTGCCTACATTTTTATTGACTGCCTCTCCCTCTTAGGATCTAAGCTCTTCGAGAGCGGAGAGTTTGTATGTCATGTTCTATTGTGTCATCTTCTGGGCCTAGAAGGGTGCCTAGTACAGAAACAGGAATCGGGTTCCCCCGTCTTGTGACTATACCTAAAAGCTTCTCTATGAAAACACATTGGCCTGCAAAATGAGTTTTAAACACACATATGGGTGTTTTTGTTTGTCTTAAAAGCTAGAGAAATAGGCATTTGCGTTACCTCACTAAATATGTGGTTTTCTTTCCTTTTAAGTGCACTCCAGAATGTGGTTTGTATTATCGCCATCAATTAGTTCTTTTAAAGAGGAAAGATTTGTTCTGCACATGGGAAAACACCCGAGGACAATAATACAAATATTTAGAGTAAAAGCAAGGTGCAATTGTTCTAACTCGAACTGCAGTGTAAGATTAAACACAGGCCTACCTCTACTTCTGGCTGGATCTATGTTTAAACATGTGACAGAGACATGGACCAAAGCCATGTCCTGGGGAGCGACTAAGCTGTGCACAGGAGGTGTTCTCCAAGGAGAAAGTGCTGAAAGTAGTACGGTTCAATGTTCTGCCTATTAAGATGAATTCACTTGTCTTTGGAAACAGGCATGTAAATTGTTTGCTCATGAAAACTACTGCTGTATATCAAAAGCATATAAAGAATTACGAGTATGTTAAAACTATTTAAAATTGTTTTCTAGAAATATGGTGTAAATGTTATTTTATACCTACTTATCTTGCCTCCTTCCTTCTCTGTCTCTATATCTCCTCTGTTGGCTGTTTCAGCAATGTTTGTTATAAAGCAAACTGATATTTAGGGAATCCTGCTTTTAGTATCAACAATTATAAAGTTAGAGATAAATATTGATGGTAAAAATATAACTGACCCAAGCATGCAAGAAAAATGTGCTCAGAGGGAAAAAAAGGAAAAAAAATCTTTTAATAATATTAATTAATGAAAAACTAGTCTGAAAATTAACAAAAATGTCCTGTAACATAACTACTCCCACTAAGAATTTTCCAATATAGTGAAGTACTCAAGTCACTTTCTTTACAGTGTCACCAGTACATAATACATAATTTTTTCGCCCTCAAATTTCTTATACGTGGAACTGAAATGATGACGACAACAGATGCACATGCCCTTGTAAATTGTTGCCTAGTTAAAATTTGATCCCTGGGGTCCAATATTAGGAAGGTTGGAAAAGAAAACAATTTGGAGAGCTTGTCTGGCTGCTGTCTGTTAGTAAAAGTTCTTTAAACAAATATATAAAACCTAGCTCTCTTGCATCTGAATAACCCCAAACCTAATGAGATTTAGTAAGAAGTCAGATTTGGTGACAAGAAAGTGGCCAGAACCCACCACGAACACGGTCACAAGAAGTCAGCAGGCTAAGAGTTGAGCTCCCTACCTTGGGATTTGGCTGCACTTCGGAGAAAAGCAAGGAATACTCTGGATGGCTAGTGAAGTATCTGTGACACCAGCCTCCATACTCAAACCCCCAACACGGAAATTTCAACAGGATAGAGAAAAAACAACAGACGAATGAACGAAAGAAAACGTGAGTGCATGTAGGAAGAGAGCCACGGCCAGCATGGAAGCGGGGCTACCCCTGGAAGGGTTGGAAGCAATGGC